ATACTGTTTTGAGGTTTTTTCAGTTTAATAGTGGAAACATAATAATGTACCAGACCCATGCTACCATATAGTTGAAGATTTATTTTCATTTGTGCTCCTTTACTGCTCTGTGTTCCGAGTACTCATCTATATGAAGTTGTTTTAGTGTTTTGAATATCACTTTTAATTGTTTAAAGTTCCTTTTGTCACTCTACAACTCAATATAAATCTGTTCTAACGAAAACACAGTTGTGGATTGTAAAACTTGAAAATGGAGCAAAATGTAAAAAAAAAATTCACATCAAAACCCCCCAAAAAGTTTAAAATAAAAATGTATCTTTTTTCATATTACTCAGTTTTTGGGTGTTACTGGATTAAATATAAAAGCTTTAAAAAATAAACTCCCCCTTTTTTTCCCAGTATTTATTTTTTATTTTTTTCTTGTCCCGTTTAGATGTAGACATATGTTGTTTAAGCTGTGAGTGTTGCATAGTAGATACATACTCACTTTAGCCTGCAAAATAATTACCAATTTCTTTTTATCTAAACTTTTCTAACCAAGTGCTTATGGTGATCAGGTACAACAAAGTTTATAGGGAATATACATAAAATCTAGAATATTCATTTATTTCAGCCTGGAATCATCATTGGTTAAACATGCGCCCTCATTTTTAAAGTCTCTAAATGTATCTGATTTAAAATTGTTTTGAAAAATGGTTGATAAAAAGTAGCAGCAACCTATACTACCAGTACAATGAAAGCTGACGTCACAGTTCAACTTTGATAAATGTCTGCTTAACCTCTGCATGCCATAGTATTTGGAATGCATTAATACTGAAAACAGTCAATTTTTGCAATTTGTTGGTGAAAATGTGCCACTTAAAAGCTTTGGGGTGTAACTGTGTAAAACAATAACTATGCTTTTTAAAACATATTAGCTATTTTAAATATATCCAGTGTTACCAATAGCATTACAAATAGAACCTCTTCATCTATTTCCCCAATGCTTTGAGATCTGCATTTACAGGGCCATGCCACTGCAAACATTGCTCTGTTTTTATTCAGCTTGTCTGCAGCCTGCATTGTCACTGGAGACAAGAACTGAAAGCATGCAAAGCATCAGCTGCACATACCTCTTTAATTTAATGTCTTCACTGCCAGGAGCAATAAATAATGAACTTTCTTTAATTGGGCTTATTGAATTTAGACAATAACATGGTATGCAAATGCAGATAAAACATTTGTTCCTAATGATAATGTTAATCATTGTGTACTGTGCATTATTCTCACAGAATAATGAGAAGTGCGGCCATGTAGCATGAACAGGTATACAAAATTAGCAAAAACCTTAATTTAACCAGTACAAAGAGCACACTGATTTATACTGCAATTCCAAACCTAAAGTGAGCCTATTTCTAGGCTATGAACACTAAAGTATTTATATATTCTGAACAGCAGAGCAGTAAAATAAGCCCTTGTTCCCCTTTGCAGCTTTTGCTTTCTACTGCAACAGAATGTTGGCAGCCTCTCAGCCTTCTAATGGAAACACACCTCAGGTGTTTCTAAGCTGTTAGATACGGACTTAAACCCTAATAGAAGCTGCTAGGGAGGTCAGGGGTGGCTTATTTAAGGCAGGGTTTTCACCACGTGCATTGTGTGTAGCAGGTGTCGATGGGTGTTAAACGCACTTGCTTTGGCCTGCATCAACATGCGCATTGCTGTACATATTTATTTAATACCAGGAGACAAAATATTTCATCATGTATTTCCCTAATGCATGTTGCATCATGTTACAACATCTTTAAATGCAACATGGCTTATTATTTCCCAGCGCAGTGCATTGGTGTGAACTGAATCCATTGATAACAATCTGTTTCTTCTTGTTATTGTGAAAGGCCTGCGTTGAGCAAAGCACATGGTGCAAATGTGCCCTTAAATCTCCTTTACTGCTTTTTAAAAATATAAGAATATGTTAATGTCCATAGTATGGGCACAGGTGCAGTTGGAAGGAGGAGAAGAATGTCTTTTAAAGTTTTGATCATTTTATCCTGGCATTAGGTCAGGGTAAAACTATAAAAAAAAACTTGTGTGGTCAGATTAGTAAAGTCTACCAGCTGACCACACAGTAAGCTACATTCAGAAGAAAAAAAAATTAAAGTAGTGAATTATGTAAATTGAATTAGCATGCCAGTTTTATGGCTATTCTCCATTTTGATGCAGAATTATTAAATACCTTATTTGTGGAGTAAGGTAATACCTGAATCTATCTGTATGGAGCTTTCATTAATGTTAGCTGTTCCATATACTTTATTAGTATAAATCAAAATTTCATTGAGTTATTTAAGTTAAGTTCTGAGTTTAAAAACAAGATAAGGTTGGGGTATAAGCTTGGGCTACACTTATTTTTAGGTCCATGTATGGTTACTTATCCCAACAGGATGAAGAGGGTTAGTCTCCCCAGAGAGAACAAAAACTCCACAAAGAGTAAACAAAAACTTTTCGCCCCACTCTGTCAAAAGCTAAAAAAAAAAGTTTTGCCTTAAGTTGAGCTTTAGGCCTCGTTCACACCATCCTCAGTGCGTCCCGGCCTGATTGTGGCCGGAAAGCACTGGATCGCATTGCGGCTGGCTCAGTTTGTTGTGGGGCGGGAAGCAATGGAATCGGCCGCACGGCACATCAAGCCTGCGGTCCGGTCAGAAAAAATGCTGCAAGCACTATTTTTTCTGACCGGACCAGTTATAAGTACAGTTATTTTTTGTAAAGGTGTTTAATTGTGAGTTTCTAAAACTGGATATCTTACATTGTAGTTGACCTATGTCTTTCTAAGGAACGAGCATCTCGAAAGTGCAAAAAAATCTAGTATTTTACGTAATGGCACCATGTACATTACCTTTATCCTGCTCATCACCATTTTGAGTATCTAAACCAGTTTTCAAGTATTTTGTTAATAGTGCAAACATTGTTGGACAATAAGCCATGTATAAAGTTGCAAAACGTGTAGTGAGTTTCACACCAACAGACCATAGTATCAGCCTTCAACATAACAGGGGCATCATGTTTCACCCTTGGTGGCCCACACCTTGCATTGCAAGAGTACGGCACTCCGTTGTCCGGGCTAGTCACATCTAACTGTTTGCTACAGCTGCTTTTAGGTAGTTCAAAGTCCTGCTGTTTTCCAGAGAGTTCTCTGGCTTCCAATTCAGTCGTTCATTGTGGACTTGCCAGATCACTCTTCAGTCTGCTAACCAGAAAGGGACCTTTCCAGAACAGTGCTTAGCCTGTTGGTAAAGTTTGATGCAGTCCCCTAATGACAAACTCACAGGTATTCCCCAGCCAACAGTTCTTCATGTCACACCCCTGACAAAGCACTCTGGAGTTTAAGCTAGCCCTGATGGCACCACCTGTCTTGACAAATGTTCAAAAATCCATTGAGCACGGTTGGAAATTATTGGCCAAACAGTGACTGCATCCTATGGTATTCTGAATAAAATAACTGGCATTCTATATTTCTCTATCCACACTGTTTAGCATGAATGGAGAAATCCATTGATTTTCTCTCGTTCTGAGTGTGGCTAGCCTTACTCAACAGTATCGGACAAATAACATAATACAAGGAACTCTTAGGCACTGCAATCTTAGAGGGACCTTACAAAATATGCTCTTAGGTAACACATTCCTACATTTGTTATAAAATGTTCCTGTGTGGCCAGGCACTAACAAATTGTTAAGTTTGAGATCAGCAAATACGTAATTGAAAATGGCTTTATTTAAAACCTCAATTTCATCTGAAGATAAATGGTAGAGGAATATGTATATTTTAGATTGCACAGCCAATCTGATATCTGTAGCAAGCTTTCTATATTTAGAGAATCTTACAAAAAACAGAAAGATGGCTGGACAAGTAAATTGGCTAAGAAAGGATGTGTCATAAATAGTAAGATATTAGTTGTTTTTTTCTGGGGAACCTAGGGCAGGTTTTAGGAAAAAGGAGACTTGAGGCCTACCAGTAAACATGTGTAGTCAATGTGTGCAGTAAATGAATAGGCTAAAAGTCAGAACCAGGAGCACAGTCAGAAAGAAAGCCCAGATGAAGATCCTGAAGATGTCATATAAAGGGGCTGTTTCAGCACCCTGCTATCATTTAAGAAGTGTTCATTGGATGAATTTACCTGGCCAATTACTATGTCCCGCACTCACTCTCCCCCAAGATAAAATGGTTCCACTTCTTCATCTGATGTAAACAGTCATGTTTGTGCAATGATCTTTAGTAGAAAAAATCTTGTTATAAAAGAACAAATAATGGGTAGAGAGGAGATTGTTTTTTTTTTTAATCATTTACAGAAATATTTTATGTTTTGCATTAGGTTTATTGAATAAAATATTCTTAACCTTGGAAGTGACCAGAACCTGCCCAATAAGGTCAACTCCAAATGCATATTTGATAACTGCCTTATGGCTTTTGTTTCCTTCAAGCAAGTTTTGCATTTCCATACAAATCTATGAGAATAGAAAACCCACTTGAAACAGGTGAAATGCAAGTTAGGAGGGGTTCAATCGCAGGTCAAATACACCTATCCATAAATTCTGAATGATCTCAGAAGTGTCTTAAGCTGGTGCCATCGACACAAGCCCACAGCTGTCAACACATACCATTACTGCTCTTCCATCAAGTATTTATTCGACTAGCTTACTTTTCACTGTTTTATGTAAACAGTACCTTGTATGTTCTTAGTGAAACATGTTAGTAAGAAATTTATTCATCTCGTTTGCCAGATAAGTACATTTTTGACAGACCCACAGTAAATAAGGAGGGTGTAAAATCAAGTTATTCTGTACTCTACACAAGTCTGCAATAATGTATTATGTAACCTTAAAATAGGAGCAATGTGCAGAACCAGTTTCTAATAATATGACAAGTTTTATTGCTTGAGTTGTTGTAGCAAATCAATTAAAACAGTTTATTTATCATATATTGGTCATAGTGGATTAGGTTTAATGTTTTTCTTGTTTGTTTCATTTAGCTACTACAATTTGGAAGATGTTGGACATGATACTATGAACAAGTTCCTTTCAAATCTTGTGGAGAAATCACTCATCGACCTTGAGTGCTCATACTGTATAGAAATTGCGGAGGTGAGATCCTTCATAGATCAACATTTATCCTTTCTATTTATTTGCCACATTTTGTGGATTGGTAACATTTTTGGAATTAGTACTGTTAGCAGAATTACTTGTGATTGGGAGTCCCTCAAGCTGTATTGGGGTAATTTATTGGTTCATCAGAAGTGCTTATTATCACACACACAGATGTTTATGCTGGAAAATCTCTGCAATCATTTGTAGATTGTTCACTGCTGCATGACCAAAAGGCATCAAAGCATTAATTTTGTGTTTGCTTCCATTTTGTCAGAGTTGGTATGGGGATTGACAATGTGAGCAGGAAAAGGGAGCCTTCTCATTTCCAATTGCTCTCTGTGTAACCACTGCCTATAGAGAACTGTTAAAACCCCTGCCAGGTTTTTTTTTTAATGCTGTCTTTGCGCCAGGGATATCTTGCTTAACTTCCTGTCCCAGAGACGCAACAAAGTTGCAGCAAAAAATTATCCAAAGTTAGGAGAATCCCTCTCTTAGGGCCCAGTCACACCATATCCAGTGCATTCTGGCATGATTTGTGGCCAGAACGTACTGGATCACAGAAATCAAGCTGGGACGTGTTCTGGGGTGGGAGGAGGCCCCCCGCTTGCAGTCCCATTGCCTGCACCAGAACGCGAGGTACAGGAATGCCCTCTCTTCTGGTGCAGTGCGCTCGGGAAAAAATTGTACATGCAGCACACTGGATATGGTGTGACTGGGCCCTTAGAGAGTTGTCCCCATAACATATATCTTTATTGGAAGACTTCCAATTAACTTTTGTTCTGCAACAACTTTAAAATTTTGTTTTCACAATGCAACTCTCACATCACATTCATGAAGTGCAGTATTGCCTTAACTGATTGCTATAATGTGCTTATTCAGGGATCAATAAATAAGCAATAAGATGATGCTTTTTGTTTCCACCCTTCTGCACCCCCATTGCTATATGTTGGACAATTCTCCATAGACAGTAATAGACCTGGCTATGGAGAATATCCTGGCTTATCTCTGCATTTTCAGTATGGTAAAACAGTGTACCTTGTAACTCAGCAGTCAAATACAGCATATATAATATGTGTGCCATAATTATTTCCTTCCATTTCCAATTTAAGGCTGCACTTATCTTAAAAATCCTTACTAAATGTTAAACCTAACCCCTAATGTCTTACCTTTACACTAGCTATAACCTAACCCTTGTCTTAATGCCTAAATTCAATTTTTCATTAGAATTCAATACTTATCTAATTAGACCTTGTAGCTATTGGCTCAAAAGCTTCCTCTTTTATGCAGCATAATAATCCTCTCCAAAGGGCCTTATGCTAAAAGATGATGATTGATTCAGGGTAATATATTGCCACCTTGATCTTTTCCAATAGCTTACACTCAAAACACTTTCATGTGATTGTGCCAGAATTGCGTATTTAGCATTTCTTCTTATGCATGGGTACTGTTAAGTAAAGGTGCTACTTAGTTCTTGTAAAATCAAGTATGGAAAACTGAGCATAAGTTTTATGATATACATAATCTAGACGGAAGCAGTTTTATTGTCTTTTAGGGGAAATCCTAAATAGTCAGATTCTCTCCAAAGTATCACATGGAAACTTATGATTAAGCCAGGATGCAGGCTTTTAAAGCTAGCTTTAAATTGCTGGTGGTTATTAGAAACAGTGGGGGGGGGGCTTAAAACAGGTATGCAATATAAAACAATCGCAATAAATCCAAATATAAATTAATGTATCCATAGTAATGAGTCTGATAATATCCTGATGCATTCATATTAAGTCAGATTGAGTGACAATTGCGTTTCTAAAGGCACCAGCAGATGCTGTAAGACTTTCGCAGCTGATGGTGGGGGTCCAGTCTAACACTGGTGAAAAAGCTAGCATGAGGAAGAGATAAAATGTTGTTAATATTTCCAAGCCATTAAAATAAAGTGCCACATTCTTAGAAATATATAAGTGTAAATATCCAATACTTCAGTGTTTAACTTCTAATATCATTCATAGATCTTTGATAATATAATAGCTAATGGCACCCTATTAGAGATAAATAAATGGATATTACTTTTCTTTCTGTACTTTACACCTGTTTATATATTTCAATCAATTAGAATCTCCCAATTTTTTTCATTTGCTAGCAGGGCTAGTCTTATTTATTCATTTATTTATTTCGTTTTTACTGTAGTTGGATGGGGCTTTAGTCACTTGTGTGAGGTATTGCAGGGACAATGAATTTGTAGTGAATTACTGCATTTTACATCATTTTGTGTTTTTGAATCTGAATTAATTTTTCTATCTCCTATTGTTAAAGTATATTTAGTTATAATTGTATCCTTTTATCCCTTTTTCCATAAAAAATGATAAATGAAAGAAAATGAATGGCATAAATACAGAGGAAACAAAAATGTTGTAGTCCGTGCCTAATTAGACATTGACTTTACAGTGTACACAAATTATAAATGATAGTTGTAAAGAGAAGGATTTAATGGCATTTAAATGTCTCCAAGGTACAAATTAAACATGGCAAATGTGTGGTGTAAAATGCAAGGCGAGAAAAGTGTCAAACTGCTGTGTAAAGCAAAACAGCTATACAAGACAATCTACATCAGAACATATTGCCAGCTATACATAATATTTCCTCATCTTCAACAAGGCAAACTATTGACCATATGTAATGCTAATCATGTTACTGTTCCTTGAACAGATGCCTTGTTGGGCAAGGATAAGGACACCTGCCATAAAACATGCACATAATATATATTACCTCTATGTAAGAAAAGTGTTTTCTACAATGTTTAAGCTTAATTTATAACGTTAAAGGACAACTATCATGAATGTAGATCTGTCGATGTTCTTAGGTTTTAATATTCTATTCAACTGACTTTTTGTGTGTGTTTTTAAGCCACATTTACTTTCAAAATTTATTTTCTCTGCACAGAACCATATTTAGTATAGGAGCTTCTTGCAAGATGATATTTTTTTATACTATCTGGTATATTCTGTGGCTATGACTTTGTTATGCAAAAATGCATTAAAAAAATGGCCTGGACAGATTTGTTGGTACCTTAGAAAAATGATAACTATATGGATCATAGATCACAGAAAAGAAGTCGCTCTCGTGTTTGTTCACACCACACTAAACATGGACCAGAGAAAGCAAAAGAGAGATGTCTGCGGAGATTAGAAAGAACATTATTGACCAGCATGTCAAAGGTGCAGCCCATAAAACTATCTACAAGCAGCTTGAAGTTCCTGTGACTACAGTTACAAATATTATTTAGAAGTTTATCCCTTTTGCTGCCACTGCCATAAGGCTTACGGCAGCTCAAGTCCAGCCCTGTAAACAGTTTGCAAAGCCAACGGTATACTTCATACTAGAAGTGATCACTTCCTTGGGTCCTGAAACATGCCACCCCTCCACCCCATGTATCCTAAGCTCCATTGGCCCTCCTGGCTGCCTGGAACACTCATGCAGTAGATTATCCAAGACACGATGAGCTTTCCATCATTTTCAGTTTCAGAGTTGTCATTCCCCAGCCACTGTGGCCAGGAATTAAGCTAATCAAGTACGATATGTGCTTAATTAACCTCATTGGAATGCAAAGGTGATTGAGAGCATTAATTTTAGAGCTATTATTTGCTGTTAACTCTATTTAAAGCATCACCTATGTGAAATTTAGAGTACTGGAGTTGTTTGCCATTTCATTGGCACACACAATTGTGAGGCTTAACATGTTTGTTTATTTACTCAACACAACCTCATTGTTTATATTTTACCAAACAATTGGGTAATATATTGTGCTTATGTGCACTAAAATTCAATGTGGGCTTGATAAGCAGTTCAACAAAATATTAGTTTAAGTGTCCCTTCATTTTTGTCCAAACCATTTTTTATTATTTAAAATATTATGTTGAATCAAAAAGCAAAGTCTAACTTTTATTGAATTTGTAATAAACAGTGATAAATGACAATTACTGTGGTCAATTTAAAGTCATCTTAGAGAACATTGTGGGTTCTTCTTCATTTGTTGAAGTATATCAACAGAATTGTCAATATCTGTATCTGTTGTTTTATAAAGGACCCCGTTTCATTAAGAAACAGTCCTGCATGCTTATTTTATTAATCCCGTGCCCTGCCTGGTCCCCGTCAAGTCAGTTCATGAGATCCTCAAAAACCACACAACATACTTCAAAACCCATGGCAACACTTTAGCAAATGGATGTGCAAGCCCCTTAGATGCCAGTATAATGTTTACAATAAAAATAATTAACCAAAAAAAAATTTGGTACACAGGCATGTCAGTTAAGTACTTTTTGTAATGGCAAACTATTAATAAGGTACAAAATAAAACATACACTAAAGTGAGTTTTGTGGAGAAAATTGTTAGGCTGCCTGAAAATTGTAAAGCAGTGGTTTAGTGTTGTCAGCCTGCTATTACTGGCAGGATGTGCAAAAAAAGATTTGGGGTTTACATTCACTTTAAGGAAAAATGAATGTCTTGAATTAATATCTATATGTAATAAAGAAATAGGGTATACATTTCTTTATTAACCGGCACATGGATGGTTTATAAAAAAACATCCAAAATATAAACTGTTTTTTATTCAGATTAGGTGTTTTTGTAACAACAAAGGGTTGATAGAGTGTTTGAAAATAATTAATGCCAGGATTACGGTATTTTACCATTTTGCTTTAGAAACATGCTTTTAGATTTGTACTATTCGCTAGAGAGAACTGGATGTGATGAGATGTCATTTGTCTTTTTGCTGTTTATTATTAGGATAGTCATGGTATTGAGCCACAAACCTATGGACGCATTGCCTCTTATTATTATCTGAAACACCAGACCGTTCGCATGTTCAGGGACCGACTGAAAGCAGATTGCACAGTTGAAGATCTTCTTTCTGTACTGACGGTAAGAAGTTCATTTTTTTCATGTTTATATAGATGATAGCACCTAATCATTTGCTTGATTTTTTATGCTAAAGGCATCTTTTTTTTACTTTCTCTTCTCCCATTATTTAATTCACATTTTGCATACATTAGGTGTAACATTAAATGTCTATTACTCCTGGATTATCTTTTGTTCTTAACACATTGTATGCTTTTGCTCTTTGTCTTTCTCATGTAAAATACCTTGAATTCCAGGTATGCATTTTATTTTACTTTTTTGTATTGCTTCATTAATATACACTGAGTGGCCAGATTATTATGACCACCCCATCAGTACTTTGTTGGGCCACAAGATGACTCCATGAGATGACTTCGTTGGGCCGCCTCGTGACTCCACGAAATGTTGAAAGGTGATGCGAGGAATCTGACACTGCACTGTTGCCCTTCTGTTGTCTTGTACCAGTCTTACCACTCTCTGTTCTGCCCTAACATTGACTAGTCGCTGACGACCACAATTCGCACGTTCAGACCCTGATTTTCGGCTGACAGTCCAGTCTTTAAACACTTTAACAACAGCTGCTCTTGAACATTTAATGAATTCTGCTGTTTTGCTGATACTCGCTCCATGGCTAGGAGCGCCAACAATCATCCCACGTTCGAAGGCTGTTAAATCGCGTTGTTTCCCCATATCTTCAGAAAAAAATCACTTCTACTGTCGTGGTAAACAACCTGCTTCCCTATTTATAATGGTCTGGCCCTCTAGCAACTTCAGCGTGAAATTATAGCTAATTTGCCTACAAACGTCAGGTGGTCATAATAATCTGGCCACTCAGTGTATACAAGGCATTCTCTGATTGGACAAGAGGCATGACATCATCCTGCTGCCCCTCGCCCTATCAGAGAACGCCTTGTGTTTAATGATAAAATAGTAGACATTCTCTTAATGGCCACTGTGCCAAGCGACCTGTTGGGTTTTCATAGCAGAGGGGAAGATGCTCAGCACAGCGACATACTGGACCCCGAAGAGCACTGTAAAGCATTTTAGTAGCTCTATCAGGTATGAAATATGCATACTTACTTTAGGCCAAGCTGGAGCAATGTAAATATACATATAAAATTATACCTGGAGTTTAGCTTTAAGTCTTTTTACTCCTTGTGAATCCACTGCTTGTGAATATGTTCACAATAAGCTTTATGTTTCAAATAAGTATCAATAGAAAAGTAGTAGCAACAACATAAATATGTATAGAAAACATTCTTGCTTTATCAAAACACCCAGCGGACATAAATAGGAAAATGTAATTTTGAAAAAGCAATAAATATGAAGGCAACAAATTAGGCCCCCAGCACTTCAAGCCAATGAAATAGGCTACCTGCCAAAAACTGTTGAAAACAGACAATTTAAATGAACTTGATGTCAATGGGTTTCCCTTATAACTGATGTGATGTCAGCAGCATGATATAGGGGTAGGTCTCCAAAACAGTAATGTATCTCAGCTGTTGCTTTCTTCTTTATTATATGCTATTTTGTTGCGCAATTAAGTTGATGTGTATATATCTGCTATTCAATCAAGATCTCAATTTTGCTTTCTTTACTGGCCTTTATATTTTGAGGTCAATTTATCACCAAGTATAGGCACACCTTCATTGCTTAAAATAATATAATGCATGTTTCATTAATAAATTCATTTTAGTCTGCAGGATCCTCTTAACTGTTGTAAAAAGGAAACAATATACCTCTGATTCACTTATTATCTACAGCTATGGTAGTACACGGTACTTGTACAGTCATCTATATTTTGTAATTTACTTTCTGCCAACTGACATGATAAATGTACTTCCAACTCTAAAAGATAAAGTTTCTTGTGATAATCCTGCCAAAAGGGTAATTGCAAATGACTTTGTCCTTTGGGTTTATTACGAATAATTGTGCTTATAATTTTAAATGTTCCCTTATTTCCTGCTTGAAATTTTTCTACATTTTTTTTTTTATCATGATAAATAACTGATTCAATTAAAACTTTAGTTCCACTATAGTAGCTGTAATTTTTAGCAATATATGTTATTTTAGCAAGTTAATCTTAATGGCAGAATTAAAGTGTATGTCTGGGCAAAATAAAAAACATATTTAGTGTTTGCAGGAAGATTTGTTTATTTTAGAAGAGACCTACTATGTCTCTTCTGCAATAAAATATTCTTACCTTCCAGCATGCATACTTCTTTAGATGATACACTGAGCTGTGAATGTGCAGCTCAATGTACAGTCTTGGAATTTCTTGGTGGCAGGATGAATTAACTCTTGTGTTCATGCGCATGCAGAAGTTATGTCATCCTTGGTTGCCTACTCATGATGGCTGAAGATGCCAAACCTGAAAAAAGTGCAACAAAATCTGCGCAGGGAAGTAGCTTGTGGACATTCCATTGCTGGAGGAGAGTATACAGGTTTTAGTTCCACTTTAAAGAAGAACTCCGGGCACAAATTTTCTTAACGCATGCAGTGGGGTTACCCCTACTCTGCAAGGGTTAAGTGCTTGTTTTTGTGTAGGGACAAAAATAACAAAGTGATACTCAGCTGAACCTCGTTGCTGGCTGGCTGTTTGACCGGTCTATCCAGCCTCTCCTCCCCTTCACTCCAGCAGTCTAAGGACCTGTGAGTTATCACATTCTATACAGTGCTTGGACGGGAGGACACCGAGGGACATTCCATCGCTTGAGCGGAGGACGAGATGGGGTCTAGGAGCCAGCCGTCTGCAAGGTTCAGTTGAGTATATCTTTGGTATTTGTATACCTAGACAAAAACAAGCACTGAACCCTTGCAATAAGAAAATGTGTGCCTGGAGTTCTACTTTAAGAACAATTCAAGTATAGAAAACTACCTGGTGATCAGAAATCTAGTGAGCTCCTCCTATTCTCCTATTTCACCTGACAACTCTGCTTCTGCTGTACTGAAAACTCAAGTAGTGTTATCCTAGCTGGACTACAATACCCCCCTTATGTTATGGAGATGAAGAAAGGGGGTGTGTTCTGTAATCTAGCAGGGAGGAACTACAGCACTACTTGGGATTTTAGTGCAGCATATGCCGTGTTGTCCACTCAGACTGGAAGTTAGGAATACACTCGATTTCTGGCAAATCAACAGGTGTTTTTCTGTACTTGTAGCATTTTAAAAGGGAAAAAAACACGGGGAAATGTTCAATTATTGCATGTACTGTGTGCTTCTTTTTTTTTTGGGTGGGGGGGGGTTTGCAGATGTACGCTTCAAATGTGCAGTGCAGAGCAAATTTTGCAGTTGCTTAGTTTTTTGTGGTTTTGGTCAGCTGACTTTTCCCTAGCTTGGTAGATCTGGAAGACCACTAACCATACCATTTTTTTCTTTTAAGATTTGAAGTGTGTTTCCACTTTTGTGGTCAAATTTAAGAATACTCCACCTTTGTCAAGTGTTCCCATTCACACAGCATACCTAAAAAGGATTTTAAAAATATATATTTTACCTTTTAGATGTTTTTTTGGTGAAGGCCTTTGTGCAGATTCTAGGCTACTCTGAGCAGTTTGAAAGTGAAAGTAGTGAGACAGACTGAAGAACAGACTGAGCTTCTTCCCATTAACATAAAAGTTCAACATGTATGAAGTACAACACCGTAGTTTACTATTGATAATTAAATCTGCTAGCACAAGTACAGACAAGATCAATTAGAGTAAACAAACCTTCCCACGCCCCCCTCCTTAACACTACATAGAGGAAAAGCTAGATAGGGTTCTAAAGCAAGTAAAAAGCACTTAAAATGTAAGCATTTTTTTAAGTTATGCAATGTGAATGGGAACATGTAACAAATATAAAGTAGGTGTTATCCCAAATTGGCTGCAAAAGTGGAAATACACTTGAAGTTTAGCTGTAATTAGTAATTACATTCACTTTCGAGGTGTCCCCATTAAAGGTGTAAATTGTAAGATTTTATCAGTCTGATTCTTGTAAAATAAATGATGCAGCATTTTGGAGACCTTTTTTTTCCCAGGATTTTTTTTTTTTTGCTGTGTGAATTAATGAGCTTCCTAATTAAGGCAATTGCTTCACACTTCCATTGTCAGCTAGTATCATTGCATCTGTCTGGTGCTAATGTCTTTTCTCTACTTATGGAAGCATTTAACAGTTTTGGCAACAGGGAATGACATGCCATGGGGTAAATAGGCTAATTAGCTTTAAGTGAAATTGTCAAGGGAGAATGATACAAAAAGTAAAAGCAAGATGCTGTGAATATACAAAAAGATAACAGCATAATGTTGAAAATTCCTGTATTCAAAATGATTTCTCTAATAAATGGTAAAAGACTGTGTTTTGCACGTTCGTCTCTTTCTCCTTCTTAGTTGGACAAGCCACCAGCAGGCTGATCTGTTAGCTTGACCTCCCTGCTCTTCCATCTGCTGTGAAGTCATTTCAGTGCACCTTTACTGCTAGACAAGCATTGGAGGATGGGCACACTGCTATAAAACATACAGAGCTGCTCATACTAACTCTACATGCATACAGCTCAATCTAAGCAACACATAATGATACTAATAGTAGTTCTACAGTTTGATATAATGTGATGATTGTATATCAGTAATAGTTTTAGAATATTAATGTATGTTCCCCTCATTACACTGTATGTTGGCTGTTCAGATTTGTTGAACAGATATACTCAATACTTGTAATAATGTTCTACAGCAGTTCCACACAGCCAGCAAAAGCAATGATATGTTACTACTAGCAGGAGGATACTCTGTCTGAACCAGTGTAATCTTTTGGAACCAGGTTTGGGCTGTTCTCTACATAGCTTTTAGTACAAATTGCAGGGTCTCGTTCTATGATTCTAAACAGACTTAAAAGGGTTAAGAAAGAATTGGAAAAATGGAGAACATTCTTCTTTTTTCCAAACCTAGGTTTAGTTCACACAAGCATTAAAAGGGGGCCCAGATATATGCTTCTGAATCCCTAACATCAATGTGCCATTTATGTTAGGTTTTGAGTTGATTGGAAACATATAC